TATTACATTTCAACACAAATTATGTACACATCAATTAAACAAATCAACATTTACAAATCATCTTTTACAAATCAATTAAACAATCAAAAAATAATAATAATTCTTATTTCTTCATCAATTATTGAATCAATGAATCAACAACTTTGTGACCCCGTACATCCATTTCACGCAGCTCACTTAAGGATTAACCTGCAGAAACCAAACATTTGCTCAAACAAGACTTCCTACACATCTAAAACCTACAAATAGCAAATTATTGAATTCTAGGTACTTAACCAAACATTTTCAAACCAAAAGGAGTATATATGTTAACAAAACTTGCATTTGACTTACCAATTAACAATGAACACTTTCATAACGCGGATGCAGGTAGGTAGCGTCTCGAATATATTGCTCTAGCCATATAATGCCGAAACCATAAGCCTACTGCAGCTCTATCTCTATCGGTGGGAGGTAAAAACTCTGTGCTTCCCGTCGTCAAACGCGCCAAGCAAAGGCATACGAGAGGACCACAATCCCCTCTGGCTCCCGGCGATTACTGTGGCGCGGTCTCGTCTCTGACAACTGTGACATTGAACTTCTTTGGCTTCTTGTGTCCAGAATGACTCCAATACTTAATCCCATCCAAGAATTTAGCCAAATGAGAGCTCCATCCCTTGAAAATATCTCTCAAATCAGACAGTGATATGTAATTGATCATGCTGTCATACACTATTATCTTCAGGGATGGGAGCTGAAGTTGGACGAGAAGCCAGTGACGACGTTCCAAAACAGGGATAAACACCTGCGATCATAAGTAATAATTCATTTAATTGTGCACTTATTTATGAACACCTTTAAAAAATTTAAAAAATAAACACTAACCTTATCGACCTCCCACCATGCATGATAAAGTTTAGCTTGTCCATTGCCCAACAAAAATGATTCATCTCGTTGATTCTTCAAGTGAACTGCGTGAAAAGTCGTCGGCATTATTGTATATAGCGAATTTTTTTTATTTTTCCTAAGCTTCCTTATTATTAGTAGACGTGACACCCACGCATCGATATGCTGTTTTACAAAAAAATACATATATTAGTGAATTACATTAATTTTTAAACAAATTAATCAAAATCATATATAAGACAAATATAAGACTTACCTCCCCATCCAAATAGCCACTGTCTTTAACCCCTAATAGCACACCCCACCAAGACCGATCAAGCAACAAAAACATTTCATCGTTGAGTTTGCTGATGTCAGTGTAACACCCTTGGCTCCGCTCATGTAGATAAAAATCAACTGCAGTCTTAGCCCAAAGGGTATTATCCACAATTGTTTCTGGTAGTTGTCTCCTCTCCACTTCAGATACCGGAAGGGTACTAGCCGGTAACTCATACGAGAGCCAACTCTCATCCATCATGTCCGGAACCGGTGGGGGTTTCTCAATACTTCGATATATTACCCCATGTGAATCGGGCTCTGGAATGGTGGGAGGGACCTCTTCAACGATGACAGTGGCCTCTTGAACGGTGGGGGGGGGGAATCTTGAGGGAGAATAGGGGCCTCTTGAACGATTGGAGGGGACTCTTGAGGGATGACCGGTGAGTCGGGCTTCTTCTTGCGGAGTCTTCGCACCATTGGGATGAACGGAGACGTAATAGCACGTCCACGCCGTCTGATGCGTGAACTCCGTCGTGCAAGGAAAACCCGACGTAAAGCATCCACCTTATCGGGCCGCTAAAAAAAATTAATACATAAATCAATAAATAAACAGACATGATATTAAACAAAGACAAATATGTTTCAAACTAGCATTGTATTCACCCAAATCATTATTCTATCATAGTTCACAAAATGCTCAGATAACATTCCAGAAGTAAGCACTTATATAAACATTTAAAAGGACAACATATATAAATATTCCAGAAGAAGAATAGTTTACTTTCGCAACACGAAACTTAAAATCGCAACGCGAAATGACTATCGCAACGCGGAAATGGCTATCGCAATGCGAAATGAAAATCGCAACGATAAAATCGCAACGCGAAATGAAATCGCAACGACAAAATCGCAACGCGAAACACAAATCGCATTGCGATTTTCATTTCGCGTTGCGATTTTGTCGTTGCGATTTCATTTCGCATTGCGATTTTGTCGTTGCGATTTTCATTTCACATTGCGATAGCCATTTCCGCGTTGCGATAGTCATTTTCGTGTTGCGAAAGTAAACTATTCTTCTTCTGCAAATTGAAACTTGAATGGATTGCATTACTTCAACCAAAAGACAAAAACAAAACCAAAAACAAATACTAACAAAAACAGTTTAGCAGTATTGGCAGCAACCGAATGAATTACGAGTATGAAAATCTTAAACTTACCTCGTTGCGTAGAGTATGAACCTCATTCTGCAACGATGCTACCATCTCACGTAGAGCGGCTACCTCACCGCGTAATGTAGACACCTCAACACGCCATGCACCATCGTCTTTGCGTAAAGTACCGACCTCCTCACGCAAGGCATTGACCTCATCACGTAACTCCCCTAACTCATCCCGTTGAGGTGGAGGTGGAGAACAGGGAGATAAACGTCGTGGCATCTTTGCCGGTCGCCTATCTTGCGGTGATGGTGGAGAAGAGGCTCGATGATGTGACAGAATAGGTGATGGCTGTCGTTGTGGAGGTGTATAGCCGGGTCGATCAGATGATGGCTCTGGGTGAGGTGATAGCTCTGGGCGAGGTGATGGCTCCCGAAGTGGAGGCTGCTCATCAACCGTTCCATCAAAAAAACGCTTACTAGCTTGCCACCAATCAGTGGCAAGCTCAGCTTCCGTGGGTGTCAGCCTCTGTAGAGGAGTGTTGGCCTCCTAACAATATAAAAGCTCAAACAAAGTTAAACGTGTACTAGTAATAACTTGTTTATAAACATATGGTAGTATTTATGTTAACTTACATTATTTATTGTCGTATACCGTAGTAAATCTTCCCATTGCAAGGTCCGTTTCCTCTTCCAGGAAATAGCCCTGGGAATATCATTTGAAGTTTTTATTGCATATGTCTTCATGGCGGGAAAGGCCTCAAATATCCAAATCTACAAACAATATAATAACAAACATTAGTAATTGTTAAATAATTACTTATAATTTTGGAAACATCATATAAAAATTCTTACCTTAAAGGCCCAAATAAAGCCTGTCAAAGTGTATTTGGAACCATCGCCATGCAAACTTTTTCGATCATCCAAGGCAGACGATAACTTATTCCATGTAGCTTTCCATAAATACGAGCCCCACGGAAACAGGTTCCACGTATTTAGGTCTTCTACCAATTTGATTAGATCATTTGGAATAGGTTGTCTGGCCTCTCTGCCTAAAAAGCTGGCATGCAAAAGAATTAGAAGGCATACTCGGACAACGTCGACGTCATCCATCCGAGTAAAACCATCTTTATTATTCAAAAATCTTGTCAGGTCTTCTACGTGTAGACTCGGCCTCTCCAGCTCAGGAAAAACCCGGGATAGCCATGATGGGTGGGTAATGTGTCTAGTGTACCGACCTACATCATCGTGTCCGAAGCGTAGACCGGTGATTAAGCAAAACTCCTCCCGCCCAAAACACGTATACGCCGGTGGAAAATCAAACCATATCTCTTCATCATGACGTTGTATATTCTCTAGTAGATCGCTAGTCATGGTTTGAAGAAACAGGTGTGTCAACATCGCATCTCCACCGGGATGTTGTACTTTCAGCCATGGCCCGAAGCATGTATCCTCAAATATTTTTCTTTGTGCAGGTGAAAGCTTCGACGCAATTGTTTTGGCCAGGCTGACTTTATTTCTCAAGGTCAATTGAGCCGAATAAAAGTTCTACAAAAACAATAAACATACTAAATTAGATATACCAAAAACTACACTGTGAAGATATACCAAAAACAATAATTACTTAAATATGCAACACTGTGAATTTCGTATTTGTCTTTGTTTTTTGGTTGAAGTAATGCAATTCATTCAAGTTTCAATTTGCAGAAGAAGAATAGATTCTGAAAATGAAAATCGCAACACGAAAATGACTATCGCAACGAGAAACTAAAATCGCGTTGCGATTTGCATTTCGCGTTGCGATTCTTGGTTGATTTAATAAGCAATCTAAGTGAAATGGTTAATCTATTATTGAAATTACCAGTAAACTTATCATCAATTTCAATATGAAAAACCTAATAATAATGCAAAAATTTCAAAAAGAAAATAATTAAAAAAACTAACACTCGTTGGTTGATTTGGTTGATTTTCCATTTCTGATTGTGAGGGTGGCTCTGAGAGATGGAGATAGACGGATTTCGCCGGAGATGGGGACGGATTTCGTCGGAGATGGGTGAGAGAGTGAGAGATGGAGATGGGACTGAGTTGTGATTTTAGGTTTTAGGTTATGAGTTGCGATTACGGGATATACTGTGGACAGTTCAGTGTTCCAATATATTAATATTCATGTTTGGAATTTAAAAATAAAATACTTGGCCAGGATACTAATGGCGCTTTGAAAATCGCATTGCGATTATGTATTATCGCGTTGCGAAAGTCAGTATCGCGTTGCGAAAGTAAGTATCTCGTTGCGATTTTTTATTATCGCATTGCGATAGTCAGTATCGCATTGCGATTTTCCCAATTCGCGTTGCGATTTACTTATTCGCATTGCGATTTTCCCAATTCGCGTTGCGATTTACTTATTCGCATTGCGAATTGGGAAAATCGTAACGATACTGTAGACCATCGCAACGCGAAATGCAACGCGAATTTGCGATAATGGAGATCGCGTTGCGAATTAGCGATCGTATTGCGATTTTGTTGGTCATTTTGACAAATCCGGAAAAAGTTTGTTAAAATCGTATATTATATGGGATTTTTGGTCACTGAGGTTATTTTCTCTTATACAAAACGTCCCATGTCTCTCTCTTATACACAACCCATAAGGCATGATGATGCATTATACATACCCATAGAACGCCCTCCAAAGCCAGCAAACATTTCATTTTCCCTGCTTGTCAAACCCAGTTTCAAGACGGAAAAGATATATAATACTACTGATTTTTCTTCTCTTGAGTTTCATCTATGGATACTGCTCAATGGCCACTGGTAGAGAGATCTATCACCTCTTCTTCTCTTTATCAAACTTTTTTGGCCTTTTTTTTCCCCAATGGAATACTTTAGAGTCAATTGTATGTTTATTGGGTGCTTTTCTTTTGCAAAAAATGACAGTTCTCTTAGTTATGCAAAAGAAAAGAAAAAGATGGTTTATCGTTGAAGTCCCCACTCAATTGGATTTAATTTTTTTATCAGTTCATCAAAAAATTTCGCTTTAGCTTTCTGTTTTGCTTATATCGATATAGACCCTTTTAAATTGTTTATTTTTGTTTCTCTTCTATCTTCCTTTGATCTTCAAGGTATTGTTTTTCCCTTTTTTATTTGTTTTTATCATTTGTTGTTTGTGTTTTGTAGGAGATTGTGGTGAAACCAATACAAGAGATGGTGACGAATACATGTCCAAAACCAGCAGCTTTAGAGAGGAAAATAAGGCCTCAAAAGGAACAAGCTTTGAACTGTCCAAGGTGCAACTCGACCAACACCAAATTCTGCTATTACAACAACTACAGTCTCACTCAACCTAGGTACTTTTGCAAGACTTGTAGAAGGTACTGGACTGAAGGTGGTTCCCTCAGAAACATCCCCGTTGGAGGTGGTTCAAGAAAGAACAAAAGATCTTCTTCTTCTTCTTCTTTATCGTCATCCAAAAAGCTTCCTGGTCTGGTAACACCACCAAGCTTGTCGCAGTGTTCTACACAAAACCCTAAGATCCATGATGTGCAAGATCTCAACCTAGCTTTCTCCGCAGCAGCAGCTAGTCAAGGTTATAGGAGTATCTCTGAATTGGTTCAAGTTCCAAATAGCTTAGAAAACAATAATAAGAACCAGATTCCTACTTCTTCCTCTTCCTCCCCTACTACATCTACATCTCAACTCTCGGCTTTGGAGTTGCTAACTGGAGTCTCTTCCAGGGGGTTGAATTCTTTCATTCCCATGCCGGTTCCAGATCCGAATTCAGTTTATACATCTGGTTTTACCATGCAAGACTTTAAACCAACGCTAAATTTCTCCCTGGATGGGCTTCAAAGTGGCTATGGGGGTCTACAAGGGGTTCAACAGACAACCGGGAGGCTTTTGTTTCCATTCGAAGATCTAAAGCAAGTCTCGAGCACTACTGATATCGAGCAACATAAAGAGCAAGGTGATTCAGCTGGTTATTGGGCTGGAATGTTAGGTGGAGGATCATGGTAAAGAAGATGAAAATTAATATGGGTCTTTTTTTATTTTCTTTCATTTTCTTGGGTTTTCTTTTTTCAAAACTTCTTTTGTTGATTTCTTAAGGTGGGTGACTTGTTTGGATTTCTTCATTACTAACAGAAGATATACATGGGTTTCCTTGATCTCTCTATAAGATCCTCCTTTTTCTTAATTATTTATCTTTTTTACTATTCAATTATGGTGGGAATTTGAAGTCTTTTTTTTTTTCGGTTGGCTTCACTAAAGGTGACACAAGGGCATACTATGTTAAGGTAGAAGAAGATATCTATGAAGCTAAGCCAAGATGTTTTTAGGGTAAAAGTGTAGGAGAGAAGAGACATTCATCCCCTGAGCCATTTTCATTAATGGTTGATATTATCCTGTTGAGTACAAATAACAATAAATAATGCATAATTTTAAAGTTTGTAAGGGATAAGTTGTTGGAAAAGAAAAAAAAGACTGATTTGTTCATAAAGTCTCCAGTTTCGATTTTAGTAAACAAAATTGTTTCTTGGTGTTAATAATGTTGCTGCAATGGGATTTTAAATTCTCTCTCCCGTCCCTTCTTTTATACATACATTCATATTTGAATATGAATTCATTCCAGAAAAAGAAGTGTTTTCCAGGTATTAAAGAATCCTTCACCTAATTAATAAAAGCTACAAACTCCATGTTTTCTTGAGTTATATATATATACTGGAAAGCTATACATACGGACATGTGTATATATTTGACGCATTTCCATGAGAGTGATGATTGTTTCAATGTCACAGCCAGCAACCCTCTTTTTCTTTTCTTCTGCAATTGAAAGATCTGGCAAAGCCTCCTTTCTTTGGGTGTTGAAGAAGGACCCACAAACATTCCCCTCGACAAGTGTGATGAAGAATAATACACCGCCAGTCCCACTAAGGTTTTCCAGGATCAATCCAGATCTACACACTCCCCTTTTTTTCATGATTTTAGTGTATGTTACTTCAATTTTGTTGTTTGCTGTAATCCACTTTGAAGTGTGTATAATATCTGACAAATGGACGACTCTTCTGAGTACTGTCTTTCTCATTCATGCCTAAATTAAACCACCTCTTCTCTCTCTCTCTCTCTCTCTCTCTCTCTCTTTTTACGGTTAAATGGCCTCTTTCTCTGTGGCGTGTTCATGGAAACCAGAAGAATATCCATGTAGCCAACCCACATCTCTTTACATTTTAGTCTCACCAATAAGAACCCATTGAATAATCAATCTTACGACTATATTGGAATGGCCAGACAATTAACATTTTAAAGTGAGTGAATGATCCACCACTGGTCACATGTGCATGTCCTTCAACTGTATGGTCGGAATTAAAATTTCTTCCCTTTTCTTTTTCTTTCTTGTAAACATCATTATAGTTTAAAGAAGATCTTAAACTCAGTTTATGATGTCCATGACGGTTTAATTTGAGATCTTCATCAGAGATGATGCCATATCTGATAAAATTAAAAACCAGTCCCTGTTTACTGCTATTGGCGGCAGCACCTGGTACACTAAATGTACAACAATGCCATGTCTCTCTCTCAGCTTCTTAATTTAACACAGTTCTTTCTTGATACCATGGAGGGAAAATGGAGGAAGCAAATGAGATTTGTGGCTTAAGCTAATAATGATTATTTTTTATACAATGTTTACATAGAAAATGATACCTTTGTTAAACTTAATACCTTTGTTAAACTTAGAAGTAATTTTGTTCCAATAGCATTATAGAATCTATCTAAACTACATGAGGTAACAGATGTTTATGCTCTTGGCAAAATCTCTTCCTTCAACATGCATAAGTTTACAGTTATCTTTTCTCATTTCATCACAACGCAATTTGTATAAAGAACTTTCATGATTCTTTTTCATGTTTCAATCTGTGAAAAAATCGTAACAATTTTACCATACATCTTCAATTTGATTGTTGTAAATAATAATTTACGAGACATGATTATTTTAACTGTATATGCATCCTCATGAGATAAGTTTATAATAATGAAACCGTTCTCTTTCTGAGGTAATGTGATTTGTTTCTCTCAAGTAAATAAACCATACAACATAAAATTTATTATTTATCGACTTAATTTTTAATTGATAATTAAATTAAGTTTTATTATAATTCTAATGATTGAAGATTATTTGATGATTAAATTTATTTCAAAAGTTATGGAATAAGGATTCTTAGTGACCAAGTTCGTTTTGTTCATAAACTTAGTCTGATTTTTCTAACCTCAGACAACCAGGAACAAATGAGCTTGATTTTCATACTAGTTTGGTGTTGACCGAACCATTAGCAACCTAACACGCTAAGTTGATGAGCAGCATCACCAGCAGGGCATGCGCCTGGGAAAATCAAAGGCTAATGGTGGCGTCGCCAACTCTATCCAGGCCTTGCATCAATCTTCTCTTTGCTGACTTGGTTCTGTAGCACCATATCTCGAATGCCTCGCTCAAGTCGGGATACTTAACCAGTTCAGTTTCCATCCAATCCAATAGAATATCGGTTTGATCGTTAGATGGCAATGCTAGTACTAATGACACGATCGCCCCCTCAATACTCTGGCACAAGTCTTCATCCATCTTGTAAGGGAAATTTGTATCCTTGTTTCCCTCTGCATCTAGGATAGGTTTAATCTTCCTTATGTAGGGTAGCCATGTCTTCAGCAACTGGACCCGACATGGTGCAGGAAGAATCACATTTCCATAACCAACGGCTTCGAGAACTTTCCCAGTCACTTCTATAAGCTTCAGCTTCAAACCCCACATGGCATTTTCAAGTTTCTTGTCTTCAATTATCCCCAAGACCTTACCAGACATCTCACCCCAACTACAAACAAAGTCCTTCATTAAATCCATCTTGGAGAGTATGTTACACATCCACTCGAGATCCGATAGGCTCTGCAAAATTCTATTCTCAACGGTGTCATCCGAGATATCCAAAACAACAAGCAATGATGAAAATTCATTTTCAAATGACGAACAAACTTGGGTAAGACCCAATTTTATCACCGATTTGACTTCATCATCAGCTGTAACTAATGGGGTTTCTTCGTCTCCTCCAAGCATGAATTCCACTTGTTCTTGCGCAGATGTCTTAAGCTCATCTCCGAAAGGTGGACAAGATCCACCGATTGATGTGGCAAAGCGAACTGCTGAAATAAACACATTTTTTGTGGAACTTAAATCTACAGGTTGGATCCTTGCCAATATGGGCATGGCTATTGGCCCCAGTTTCGAAACCGCTTTTATAACTTGTTCCTCTTCCTTACCGTCCCAAGGAACAGCCTCCAAGTACTGGAGGCAGCAGTTTGTAACGTCTTCACAGCGAAATGCGACTGCCAAGTGTAGAATACCAAGAACAGATTGGACCGAGTCCAGGGAGTCCAAAAGTGAATCAGTGGGGAGATAAAATAATTTCAAAAGGCTAATATGATGATCATAAGTAGAATCCAAGCACTGAATCTCAATGCAAGAGCCAAACTCAGGATTAGAGAGTTGATCCACAAAGAACCCGCTTTTACTTACGAGAACCGAAGAGTGGGAATAGAACCACTCAGGTCTTCCTTCACCATTTACCAAACGTAAAATAACATCACTTGTACTCTTGTCGCCAAAACATAAAATAACACCTGAAAGTAATCTTCAAATGAAAGTTTAGGCAGAAGCGATATGAATTCCGTAAGTATGAAAATAGATCAACCCCTCCTCTGTTAAAATATGATTTCTTGCACCAAACAATACACACTACTAATATGCAAAAGTGTACAAGTAAAAAAAATAAAAGACAATTGTGAAAAAATCTGCATTTTTTTTTTCGTTCAACGAGACATTGAAGCAAGAATTAACCAGAGCTCAGCACTCACACCGTTAGAAACCAAAGAATCATATTTTATGAATAACCTTTTTTTCTTTCACAGTTACAACTTATAACTATAGCAACAATTTCAATCAAAATCAATCATTACTAGGACGGAACTGAATAACCGATTCAGGATTCAACCCAAATCCTAAAAATGACTCCTTTCTCATTAAACCAACGCCTCATTAACAGCAGAAAAAAAAATGATTGTAGATTTTTTTTTTCATTAGGAACCATGGTTTACAATTTTTTTTTATCCCCAACTCAATAAAACATAGAACTATGACCTGCAATACTTTGTTGAACAAGATCCAAAGACAGAAATTTTTGGAAGTTCCTAACATTACAGGATGAGTTAGCACCACCATAAATGCTACACTGTTAATTAAGCAAACTAAAAAAAATACAATAAAGTGGGGAAATGAAGAACATCATAAATGATAAATCTAAATTAAGGAATAAAAAAAGGTCTGACCTTTTGAAAGACCCAGATTGCATTAAGAATAGACATAAATATCTCTCACGTTTAACATAACAAATCTGCTGAAGCAATGAACACCGAACAGCGAGTTCCCTTTGGTTCTGGAAAACTAATTTCGTTTCCAGTTTAGTGGAATGAAAACACAGATACCCAAAGCCCCTTTTTAAGACAAGCCTTTGAAATGACACGACTAGCCTTGATGCTTTGTATGTTAGAACTGGACAAGTGGCTGGTTGATGGGATACTGTGTGTAGATGACAACGGGACTAGATGATTTTTTGTCTGTTTGATTTTATTCTGATATAGTAAAAATATAATTTGATTTCTATTTTAATATAATTTAATTTGTTTTAAAGTTAATTTCAAAAATAAATAATCTAAAATTTTTTAATGAAAATTATTCTATTTTAAAGCTTAGTATTTGTTTTTGAAAAAATAACTTTAAATTCATTACTTTTGATTTCTTTTACCATCAAAGTTACTGTACCCTTCCTAGTTGAACAAGAACGTTGAAGGCCAAAGATGTAATATCATGACACATTGACCTATGACGTGTAGCAAATGATTGGTGGAGAGATGATGTTCTTTTAGTATTTGATGGATTAGATCATGAAACATGAGCATCAATAATTCAACAATTTCCCAACTTTACAATTTTATGGTTATTATAGTCATAATGCAAATCAGTACCTTTTGGAAGAGGATAAGAGGACCAAAGATCAAGATTTGATATCACATTTTTCAAGTAATTTTGTATCCTCAGCTTGTACAAGTTGCTTTAATATTATTTCACTCCAATAAATTCCACAAATGTAGATATTTTCATCCCTCAATTTTGTTGCTCCACTTAATCAATTTTTATATATTAACTTTCATTTAATAAGTTTTGTATTATTATTGTCGAAATGATTCTTTAAGTATGATGATTTTTTTAAATCATGACGTGTATTCGGATTTTTTTAAAACTCGATTTGAAAGTAAGATTAAATTTAACATCGATCATTTGAAGTTAGGTACGATCGAATAACTATAAAATCGTCTTTTTTAAAATTAAAATCTACTTTAAAGATAACTTTTCAAATTTATGCTTTAAAAATTGAAGAATAAAAATAATTAAATTCAAAAATCGGTTAACGAAGGATTTGTTAGAATTTATACCAACAAACAAGCTTGAGAACAATGATAATGGCAGTAGAAGAAACATAAAAAGGTTGAAGAGGAAATAGAAGAAGAAGAAGCTATGAACGTAGCAAAAAGATTTGTGTAAAGTATTTATTAAACATTGCATAATAAACTACAACCAAGCCTGCAACATATATAGGCCCAGAAGTAAGCTACAGCCCAAGTAACTACTATCCCAACGGTTACAACACTTTACAGTTTCAACTCCTTACACTCTAACAGGATTAACACCCCCATAATGTCTAAACTTATCAAACAAACAAGCATGAATCATAATGCATGGAATTGAAATGAACTATATCACAACCAATTAGTTCATTGAAAGGGAATTATTAAGGGTATGTAGCTAGGGGTGAGCGTTCGATTGAGTCGAATAATTTTTTTTTGAGATATTTATATTGAGAAGTCTTATTTTATAACTTAAATTTGATTTGAATTTTTTTTCGAATCGAGTTTTCGAGTTTCTATTTAAATTTAATTTTAAATATTTATAATATTATGATATATACTATTTGATTCTAGTTTAAATTATATTTTATAACTATATACAATACATATATATTTCTTCATTTTTTTCCATATGTGATATACATATATCATCAAGAGTCGATGGACTCGACTCAAACTTAAAAGTCAATTCACTAATTATTAAAAAAATTGAGTTATTTGAGTTACATTTTATAACTAGACTTTAAATCAAATTTTTTTCGAATCGAGATTATCAAATTATAACTTGAAGTTAATTCGAGTCGAAAAATTCAATTTTTCAAGTCAATTCGAATTTTACTCATCCTACGTGTTGTATTACCCCGACACCTACCAATTTGCCACCACCTTCAACAGAGCCCATTCCTATAGGCTATATCTCCAAAATAGTCAGAGCATACCGTAATAGCATCACACTCACATATTTCCCTACTTTTCCTTTTAAGACAACTTAAAAATATTGAGAATTTGTAAGAATCAAGGACTTAAGTGGTTAAAGAAAAGAATAGTTGTTATTCCTAAATGTATTAGGTTTGAACATCAACAACTATAGGACATATGAGTTTTTATTGTCAAATTATTGAGAGTATAAATACTTTTACTTATAAGCACCATAAATTAATTAAAAAGAAAATACTGAGAATTTTTTAGTATCCATGCAAATTTATGTGACGAGAATGTCTCTGAGGTAATAGTCTTTTTTCACTTGGATTTTCGGTTAATGAAAATTAAATAAAATAAACTTTTGATTTGAATTGGTATTTGAAAGATGGCGGAAACGATCCTCACATCAGAAAAACCTTCCAATTCGTCATCCTTCGCGTATAATCTGCCACGTGTATGTTGTTCTCCACTATTTTCAGCTCCTTTTTTTTATAAATATTGTTCGTCTAATATTCAATCTTTACGCAGCTTTACACTGATTTTGCACAGTTGTTAGAAACAGTTCTCGCAATACCCTTGCCCGCGATGTAGCTCTCGCTACTGCTCTCGCCCTTGCTACAAGGTAAACCTCAATTTCACGGTGTAACTCCCTCAATGTATATATATATATATATATATATATGCATTCCTTCATAACGATCTTTCATGTAGTTCTAATTTCACATCTCGATTTAAAGTGAATAATTTTATCTTTTTAGAATTGTCACCAATCTTTTGGGTTAGGTAAGGTAATATCTAATTTTATCTTTTACCGATGTGCATCTTACCATAGATTTACTTGGAAGGGTTCGTGAATCGATTACGTATAGGAAAAGATGAACACCCCAAATCACCCTTCCGAGACCAACACGATTATAAGTTATCTTAATAGAGAAAATTAAAGTTTGAGCCAAGATTTAAGGAAAAGATCCAAATTACTTACCTTTAGGAGTCTTCTGAAATAAAATAAGAGAATTATAAATAAAAAGAAAAATATTGTGTGACTGAATTATTTTAATTTGAAAAAATAAAATAAAGGGTCATGGGTACCAAAATAATAAAATAAACTATCACTAAAATTAATGACAGATAAATAAATGTATGATATAAAAAATTAAAATTATATAAAAATAAATACAAAGATGAAATGATATAAATACAAACAATTAAAATTAAAGAAAGAGAAATGTTAATTTAAATTGAAAGGAAAATCTTTTAGAATATTAAGTAAAAAAGGAAAAATTAATTAGAAAAAAAATGCCAAAATAGTCATCATAACAAAAATGGAAAAGAAATCAAAGAAACATATAGTAAGATTAAAGAAAAATTAATAATTTTAAATTACTCATCGTGTTAATAATGAAAAAAAAATTAACAAAACAAAATCAAATTAAAGAAAGCAGGTGACAAATTAAAATTAAAAAAAAGAGAAAAAAAATGAAAAGTGGTTGAATTGAAATAAAATTATTTTTTTACATTATTGGAGAACTCTTTTCACTCTTTTTTCGAATTTGTCATCTGTTTTCGTCAAGAAACCTCAAGGAAGACAAGACCTGTAGAGATTTATTTGAAAGTTGTCGCAACAGTACTTCGGGTGGTCTCAAACAGGGTCGGGGCTAGGACGTTGGAGGCCCTGTGCAAATTCTTAAAAAGAGGCCCTTAAATCTCAATTTTTTTAAAAGATGACTTTATTAACTAGAAAACCTTTACTAAATTATAGAGAGAATGTCATATTACATGATATATATTAAGAATATAGAAACTCGTACATATTCGCTTAAAACGTGATGCTCACATTACATTTTTTGAAACTAAATCATCTATAACACTTTCAGTATCAACTTCTTCCAAAATATTGCTCTCAATGGCCATTAAAGCAAGTCCATTTAGCCTTTCTTGTGACATGGTTGTCCGTAAGTATGACTTGATCAACTTCAGTTTCGAAAAACTCATTTTTCCAGAAGAAACAGTTACAAGAATTGTCAATAAGATTCTATATGCAATTGTGACATTTGGAAAGCAATTAAAACGCTTCAAGAACTTCAAAAAATCCATTGCTCTCATTTTTTCCTTAGGTAAAATCTCCCTAAGTAATTTTAATTCAATATACAAATCATATCCATCACAATCTGATAACTCACTTTTCCTAAGAGCATTCTCAAAGTTAATACATCAAGATTGGAGTTTGATGTCATCCATTGATTGCAACTTATCAGAATTGAACAAAAATCTAAAAACATTCTCATACAATTCATATTGTTCAAACCTATTTTCTAATGATGAAATAGCTTGATAACAATGCAGATAAAATATTGAATTCTAAATGATTCCTCTGGAGATAATGATGTTTCCTTACCATTAAGCTCGTCAAATTGTCTTTTTCTACATATCATACGCCTATGAGGAAATACAGGGTCGATTCCAATTTCAATAGCTATTGTTTTTGCAATATCCATGGCATTGGAAAATCCAACATCTCTATAATTCTTGAAAAAGGATATCAACCCTTTTATCTCACTCATAGCAATATCAATTAACATGTCTTTTGACTGTAAATATTTGCTAACCAAGTTCACATCAGAGAGAATTTCATACCAAATGATTGTAGAAAAGCAAAAATTCAAAACTACCAAGTTCATTTGTAGCCAACGATTTCGCTTCACTTTGAATTTTAGAATCATTATCAACATCATCTAGTTGTAATAAGGCTTCTCGTAATTCAACAACTTTAAATCTTATAGCCTTAATATTATCAACTCTACACTCCCATCTTGTGGCTGAAAATGATTTAGGAGTATAATCTTTCACATTTTCTTTTAAAATTTGTCATCACTTTGTTGAATTAGAAAACAAAGTATAAATGCGCTGAACTATTCCAAAAAATCTATTGCTTTATTTGGAGTGTTTGCAATGCCACATAAACCCAGATTAAGACTATGATAACCGCATGGAGTATAGAAAGCTCTAGGATTCAAATCTAATAGTCTTTTTTGCACACCTTGATTCTTACCTTTCATATTAAACTCATTATCATATCTTTGACCTCTAACATTATCTATATCAAGATCATGAGAATTAAACACAT